AACAACCCTTATGAGGTAAACTGAAGAGTATGTCGAAAAAGGGAAGGAAGATTATGTGTGCAAACTGAAAGGATCTTTATATGGACCGAAGCAATCTCCTCGATAGTGGAATAGAAGATTCGACAAGTTCATGAGACACATAAGTTTCATTAGAAGTCAGTTCGACCACTGTGTTTACTTCATATTTCGACTTGATAATTAATTTTTTTATTTTGTTTCTTTATGTGGATGTTATTCTAATAGCAAGCAACAGTGTCAAAGATGTAATGAGGGTGAAGGCTGAACTCAATAAGAAGTTCGACATGAAGGATCTGGGAGCTGCGTCCAGGATTCTTGGGATTGACATCTGAAGAGATAGAAAGCAGTCAAAATTCTACTTATATCAAGAGGCATACCTACGGAAGATTCTCGAAAAGTATGGTATGTCAAATTCAAAGTCTATTGTGACTTCGACAAAACCTCAATTCAAGATGACTATAGATCAGTGTCTCAGTACTGATGTCGAAAGAGCTTATATGAATAGCATTCAATATGCTAATATAGTGGGTTCTTTGATGTATGTTATGGTTTGTACTAGACTCAACACAACATATGCAGTAAGTCTTGTAAGCAGGTACATGACAAATCCTAGAAAGGCTCACTTGTAAGCATTGAAGTGAATTCTAAGATACATAAATGGGTCTCTAAATATAGTCCTAATTTATGGTGGAGCCTTGGGTGAAGATAGTAAATAAGAAATTAAAGGATATGTCGACTCTGATTATGCATGTTGTATGGATTCCAGAAAATCTATTTCTGGATATGTGCTCACTATGTTTGAGACAACAATCAGTTGGAAAGTTACACTTCAGAAGGTTGTTGCCTTATTAACCACTGAAGTGGAATATAAAACCTTAACTGAAGCTGTGAAGGAAGCATTGTGGCTTGAAGGTTTTGCAAAGGAGCTGAAACTTCAAGGTCGAGTTATCACTGTTAAATGTGATAGTTAAAGTTCAATACACCTGTCAAAGAATTCAGCCTATCATGAGCGAACTAAGCACATTGATGTGAGGCTGCATTTCGTCAGAGGGGTAATCGAGCATGGAGAAGTCCAAGTGTTGAAGGTTTCGAAAGATCATAATGCTGCTGATATGATCACCAAGACGTTGCCCAGTTGCAAGTTTTTCCACTGTATGCAGTTGATAAAGCTGCATGAAGAAATCTAGTTTCTTGATGTTATAGAGTTAGATCCAAGGTGGAGATTTGTGAGATATTTGATCAAACTCTATCATGTTGTCGGAGTAATGCATGTTGTAGTCGAAGTTTGTTCTAACATGCATTAGTCAATATTGCTAGGTTTGTTAGCATGTTAAATTGGGCCTTACTTGTAAGCCTAATTATTTAATTTAGCTTGTAATGGGTAATTATTAAAAAGCCCATTAGGTTAGTGTGCTATTTTTCTTATAAATAACATGCTAGTCTTTCATCTTTTATAAAGAAAAAAATAGGAAGATAAAATCCTAATTCAAGAGAGAGAAAGGTTATTTTGTTATTCTTGTATACTTGTAATCTTGTTTGATAGAGAAAGCAAAGAATAACAGTTTATAACCAATCTTTATTGTTTCTTCTTGTTCTCCTTGCATGTTTTCTTTGTTAACCCTAACCCTTGTGTGTTTCTTGAATATAAAGAAACCGTTTATATTTTGCTTCAAGGAATTCTATTCAAAAGGTTAAGAGAACATTTAGTATTTTAAAAAATATTTTCATAAAAAGTAGTTTTAAAAATACAAATAAAAATTTAAAGGTAAAATAAACTTCCTTATTTTTAATAAACAAAGTAATATTATCCACAAGGGTATTAGGGGTACCCAACCAATTTACAATATTCATCACATACTATCACCTCCTAGAACAAAAAGATACAACTTGATTTTATAAGTAATCAAGAGTATAATTAAGCCACTCATAGTAATTGCAGTTACAAAGAGGTTAAGTTTTCTTACCAATCCACCACAAGAGAGAAACACAATTCTCTGCAAAACCACCTCCACATGCCACTCTTCATCCTTAAACATAATTTGGTTTCTAGTATACCAAATGCATCAGCAAATAGTAGACCACATTCCCATAGCATTATGCTAAGAAGACTCCTTGCCACATAATTCATTCAACCAAACTTGCAAATGTTCAACACAGTCCACATATACATCTATCCCAATCAACAACCAGTCCCTTACTCGCTTCCACACTTGACAAATTTTTGCACAATTGATAAAAATATGATTAGCACTCTCCCCCTACATAAAATAGATAAGGCATACAATATCATGTTCGTTAGATATGACTCCTCTATCTCTAAGATTCACTCTAGTTGGAATCTTATTCAACACTAATCTCCAAGAAAAAACCTTTATTTTCATTGGAGAACTAGCTTTCCACACATAACTTAATGCATACTTGACCTCTTCCACCATCCCACCCTCCTCAAATGAAGAAAAACTCTCATAGCAAGACTTCACAGAGAAAATTTTAGATTTGCAAAAAGGCCAAGTAACAACATCTTCCCCCTCCCTGTCAACCACAACCTCCTGCAAAAACTCTTGAATTTCTGCCAGCTTATGTTGTGCCTCAGTAATAGCATCAGAAGAAGTAGTGTTCAGCCGCCATAGCCATGTATCAGCTACCTAAGCTCCCATTTCTACCACATATTTCAATTTCTTATCCTCCAAACTCCAAGTTAAGGGATATAAGGAGGCCAGTGAAAAATGTCCTAGCCATCTAGATAGCAAGAACAAGGCTTTATAATCCTTACCAATTTTGACAGAAAGCAGGTTCATGAAAGATGAACCACCAAAACCATTCATCACTTTAAACAAGTCCTTCCACCAAAGAGAAGGTGTCTCCCTCATATTAGACATAACTCCATTCAACAAATTGGCTGCTAGGTTACCATATCTACTCACCAAAATCCCTTCCCACAACCTGCCTTTCTCATTAACCAACCTCCTTATCCATTTAGCCATCAATGCCTTATTAAACCTCTCTAATTCTCTTATATCTAGTCCTTCATCTGCCTTGGATCTACACACCTTACTCCAACATACCCAAGATATGTATTTCTTATCCTTGCATCCTGCCCAAAGGAATTTCCTTTGAATAGCTATAAGCTTTTGAATCACTTTAGAAGGAGCTTTGAATAAAGAGAGGTAGTGCATAAGTAGGTATGTTAGGAAAAAAAATTAGAGTACCCCTCCCATCCATAGACAACAATCTGCCCTTCCAAGTAGCAAGTATGGCATGCATACATTCCACCACAGGGTTCCAAAATGAAATTGACCTGTGATATCCACCAACCATTATAGAGAACTCTTGTTAAAGTTGATCTTCAATCCTGATACTAGCTCAAACCCCATTAGGATAGTTTTCAAGACCCACAAGTTACTCCACTTCCCATCACACACCAATACAGTGTCATCAGCATACTGAAGCAAATTATACCATCCACTATTCCTATCTTAAAGCCTTCAAACATCTTTATTTCAGCAGCTCTATTAACTAATACTGCTAAGCCTTCAACAATAATAGAAAATAAGAAGGGTGATAGAGGATCACCCTGCCTAAGACCCTTAGACACACAAAAATCATGGGCAGGGCTTACATTAACAAGCACATACATAAAATTGTTCATAACACATCCCTATATCCACCTCATCCATCTAACATCAAATCCCATATCTAGCATGATGCTTCTAAGAAAACACCAGTCCACTCAATCATAGGCTTTGACAAAATCCACCTTAAGAAACAAACAGTTCTTTCTTTTTCTTTTAGAATAATCTATTATCTCATTCATCACAAACACACCATCTAATAACTGTTTTTCTTTTATAATGGTAGTTTGTGATTTAGATATGATTGTTCCTATGATGGACTTGATTCTATTAGCTAACGACTTAGACATCACCTTATAGATACTACCTATTAAGCATATAGGTTTATATTCATATAAACCATTAGGATGGTGTGTTTGTGACCAGAAAAAAAAATACATCACCTTTGGTAGGTATCCATCTCCATATAACTCCTTGATGCAACTGATTATGTCTTCACCAACCACCTTCCAACACTTTTTGAAAAAGTCAAGATTAAATCCATCAGATACAAGGCTTCTATCTCCTTCACTTTTGAAAATCACCTCCTTTATCTCCTCACTTTCAAAAGGTTTCTCCAACCAGACACTATCCTCCAAAGAAAACTTCTTCACAAGATTGTCTCCCAGTCTTGGCCTAACATACTTCCTAGATTAGAACTTTGTTTCAAAGTGATTCTTGGCAGCATCATTGGCTAATTCTATCTCCTCTACCAACCCCTCATCCAACTTGAATGAAGTGATTATCTTCCTTCTGTTTCTATGTTTGATAGTAGCATGAAATAATTTAGAGATTTAATCTCCTTCCACAATCCACTTGGTTCTAGCCTTCTGCTTCAAAATCCTTTCCTTTATTCTCATATTCTTCCACATCTCATTCTCTGACTCTCTAAGCCTACACATATCTAGGTTTCTAGTTATGCCATTTCCAGCTGTCAAATCCATTTCAACCTCCTTTATAATTTATATGTCCTCATCTATTTTAGTATATATCCAACCAAATACATTATTATTCCACCATCTCAAATGATTCCTTAGATTCTGTAATTTCTTGGATATGACATACAATACCTTACCACTGACTTCATATTCCTTCCAAACATCTCTCACAAATGAATGAAACTTTGGATGCTCATACCAACAATTCAACATTTTGAATGGTTTTGGCCCCCGTTTGATATTCTCGCAGAAATCCACACTGCCTTAAGATCTGATACATGCCTGCTCCCCACCTTCTGGATCATAGTATTCCAACTCTGTAATACACCTAGAGATAGAATAAATCTATCTAATTTGCTACAACAACCTCTGTTGGATTTAAACCAGGTAAATTTGCATACATTGTTAGTTAAATCTATGCATTCCACCAACTTTATAAATTCCCAAATTCCTTCATCTCTAGTCTATTATGTCCCCCTCTACCAAACCTCTCCTCAGAATTTTTGATAGAATTAAAATCTCCACCAAAAATCCATTCTCCCTCACCCAAGCTGCCTTTGAGTTCTAAGATTTCACTCCACCTAGCCCTTTTCTCAGACAAGATGCATGATGAATATACATTAAGAAAGTAAAATTTTTTACCCTTCCATGAAGCATTTAGTCCTAAATAACCATTCCCCCTACAACTGATTATAGGTTCAAGCACACCCTTTCTCCAAATGGTGAAAATTTCCCCAGATTGACCTCTAAAGTCCAAAGCAGGCCAGAGATAATCACTGCTACCCCAGATGCTTTGGACCACTTCATCATTCATTTTACAACTTTTTGTTTCTTGAATAAAACAAATGTCTGCCCCTCCTTTTGTTAAATAACTCCTAATTTTTTTCCTCTTAACCAAGCTACCACACCTCTTTATGTTATATGTAACTATATTCATGACTTACCTCTTTCAACCTCCCTCTTTTATTTTCATTTTTCTCTTGCCTCAATCTCCAACTCTCTAATTATCTTCTCAAACACTTCATCATCTTCATCTCCTTCTATTATGAGTCTCTTGATAGCTTCCTACACCTTTTCCAGGACATCATCAAATTTCTTCTTAATTCTGGAGTTACTTTGGTTGACCTCTAAATCTGTAATTGAATCACAGCAAAGCACAAACCCTCCCGAGTATCTAGATCTTAAGTCTGATACCCTAGTCGCTTCAAATGATGCAAGAATAACATTTGAAGGAATCAACACAGGAGGTAGTGATGAAGGAAATAACATATCATGATTGTCAAGATGTATGAGAGCAGAGAAGAAAGATGAGGAGTAAGGAATTTTGATGTTTTGGTACATGTCCTCCAATAACTTTTTCTTTCTGTGTTTGGGTATGCTAGTTGGGTCGAAACTCATAAGCCCAGGTTATGTATTTTGGACTAGCCCATTCTGAATATAGATACCACCTAGTAGCCCAACATCACTTTGACATCCAATGTCATCCATAACTTTATGTTGTCTGCCATTATGGGTACTTTTGACAAGCATGTTGGTTCTACCAATTTAAATATTTTGCAATCTATTTTCAATTTAAATATTTTGCTGTCTATTTTCATCGTATTATCACTATCAGCATCATCATTAATACACATTATCTCTTTTTGCCACGCTAACCATCTCAGGTTGTCCACGTGTCCTGACATCCGTCGACAAAACATTTTCCACTACTTTGTTCTTGGAAATTTCATCAGCTGCTTTGGTATCTGGACAATCAGTAGTGATTTATTTCCGGTCGTCCTCCTGTTTATCTTCCATCCATCTCCTCCTCCGACTCGTCTCCACCCGTATCAGTATTAGAATTATGACTTTCATAGTTATCTACATTATTTTCTTTCTTCAGATTATATATTCTAATAAGACCATATGAATCCTCTACTAGCTTAATTATGTATATTCTACCATTAACCTCTAGATTGGAAACCTCGTTGAGATTCAATGCATATTTGGTTCTAACCAAAACACGGGCAACATCCATATTAACTTCTTTCTCCGTATCTCTGTCAGATTTCATAAAAACTCCAACCCTGGTCGTGAGGAATTTGAAGAAGTTGGAACTACATACATGGCAATGTAATCCATAACAACGAACTTAGGCGACTCTTTCCATGTCAACATCATCTGGAGACCACAAATGAATGTCCCTGAACCAATTGGAAATCCACGCTTCTTCTTCCTTAATTAACCTAGTAATCTCTCCTGGAGTAGATTCTTCTAATAAGCATAATTTTGCACCTGTAGGGGTAGCCTTAATATGAAAGAAACCTTCCATATGAAGGGTCCTCTGAACTTCATATGTGGTCCCCAGATCTTCCATAATACCTACAAATGCCCTTTCAAACCTGATCATTTCTTTTTTCTTAACATTAAACATTAGATAAGCAAAATCTAGTTTATCTCCCATCATAATTTGTCCTTTAGCTATCTTCTTCCCACCATTGTCTCTTCCATTTCCTGCAGTTACTTATGCATAAGAAGACCCGAAATTCCTATGCTCCATGAACTGATTATCCACTTTTGGGGGTCTCCCAACCATACTCCTTTTGTTATCCAACTTTTAACCCACTTAAACCTTATTGTGTTTATTATTTCTTTGAAACCTTGGTACATTAGCGAATATCTTAGTGCCATTAATCTGTATGTTATCAAGTTTAATGACAAGAAGATGTTCATCTTGTACCTGTTTGAAATGGACAAAGGCATACCTCTTGCCTCGTTTATCCCTTCTTCCCGAAATAAAAACCTTAACAACCAATCCATAGTCTTTAAAAATGATGTTTCGCTAGTGTCTGGAAATTCTGTGAAGAATATTGTTGCGAGATTAACTTCATCAATTGCATCTCCTTTACCATTCTTCACTTTCCAAATGAATCTTCTTGCAATCAGGCCATTTCCATGTTTCTTATTGATCACCCAATTCTATTCACCAATGTTAGTCCTCATGGGACGACCTAACCTTCCCAATGATCCCTAACCCGAAGGTTAGGAATTTAAATCACCACAAAAGAGAAGCCGCCGGGTGAAAATTTAAAAGATGATAAAAAAAAAGAGCAAGAGTTACTTAATATGCATGTGCTTAGATAATATATGTTAATAGGTTTTATAAAATTATGAAATCAAATTCATATTGAATAAAAATCCTATTTTAAATTTTTTACAGCAAAAACATAAAATATTTTATTTTCTTTAAGTTTGTATTAGAATAAAATCATAATTTTTTTAAAACGAATTGTATAGAAAAATAGAAAAATTTGTTATACATTATTAATTTTTACATGTTATATATTTAAAGTTTAACATATATATTTTTAAAACGGATCTGATCCAGTGATAAAGGGATGACTTCTTCAAGGTTTTGTTAAAATTTTAATTTTTTTTTAAAATATTTTATCAAATCATGCATATTTAGTAGTGATTTAGGATCGGCCCCTTTTCATTTCAATTAGAATTGGGTTAATAGTAGTTTAATCTAATGGTAGCTTATGGCATGTTATGAAAGAAATAATAAATCTGTTTTGTTTTAAATTTATCAGGAAAAATTTTGATCACGGTTGTTATATCCAACCACATTGAAATGTCGATCTTATTACAATGGTTAAAAAGTAAAAATGTAGTTAAATAGTTTTTAATTTTTTATTTATTTATAAACTTAAGTAACACACACTTTTTGTAATCTATAACTATATATAAAGGGGATACAAGTTTTTGGTGTGCCTTATTTTTGTTCCAAAATTACCCTTATTTAATTGTAATATTTCCATAATTATCTATGCAGTTTGTTTTAATTACAACCATGTGTGAGTAAGAATCTCAACCGCTCAACCAAAACGAAAACCGTCGTACACAGACATTTAAGTGTGAAACAACTGCTCTTCATTTCAATAGCAAAACAAAAGTAATTACAAAACTTGGTAGAGAATCCTGAATAACAATGGAGTAGACTCTTATCGTTTTTTTTTTCTTTTTTTCTTATCTACATATTATCCTTTCCTTTCTCCATCCCTCTAATATATTTTTTTTTCATGTTTTCACTTTTTAATTTTCTTTTAGATATGTTCTTAAACATGATAAAGTCAAAATATATAAATCATTTAATATTATCACTTTTTTATATGTTCATGTATGTTTTATTGGTTTATTCAATTTAGTTTAATTTTGTTTTGTTCTAATGTGTAGCTTTTGATTTTAGTGTCTGAGTAAAAATACATTGCTCTAATTTTACAAGTTTTGATGAGATTGTCATTTTTCTGTGACTAATACTTTAAGAATCATATATATTTTCATCATTTTAGTGTTAATTTAGGAATCATATATATTTTCACCATTTTAGTGTTAATTTAGGAAATCATTTATATTCTCACCATTTTAGTGTTAATTTAATAATCATACATATATTTTCACCATTTTCACAATTACTCAGTTTCTTTCTTGGTCAATCTCTATATTTTCTCCTTCTGCATTTTTCTTTCAATTTTCACAATTACTCAGTGTCAATCTCTATTATGGTTAGTTTTATGCATTTTCATTTTGTAGGATAAACGGATAATGTCACAATAAAACCATGGCAAAGATAAAAAAGGTTGATGATTAATTTGTGGACATGAGTGAAGTTAATATTTGTTTTGGTGAACATGGTAATATATTTTGATATGTTAGCATGCATTAAATAGTATTAGAATTGACCATTAAAATCTTTTTATGAAATTGAATGCATTTTTCTAATTTTTTTTTAAATTTCCCTTACAAATTGTAACTGCTTCTAACATGGTTAACTGTTGAAACTTAAACTGCATAACTCTACCATTTCAGATGCACGACATTTGTTTCCATATCTTTCATTTCCAAACCCATGATAATAGTAACTTAATGCCACTGTAAATCATTTTTGGATGTTTGGATGCTATATATATTTTTTCAATTTCACATCAACTGAAGGCATAGATTATATATTCTGTATTGTTCAAATTATTTATGCTTTCCTTCTCCACACATGTAAGTCATGTTTGTTTATCTATAGATTAGGTGTGGTCTGTATCAATTTGGATGCTATATTCACCAAAGTATGATATGAGAACTAACCATTTACATTGATGTCTATGAGGTTAATTAAAGTTAATTGAATTGCGTTGCAGAAAATAGTTTTGATTTGATATTACAGGAAGTGATTGAAGAAGAAAATTTATGAGAAATCATCTTCTGATGATATATCGGCTTTCGATGAATTATTTTTGCAATGATAGTTCATGGATACCCAATGTAACCACGATATCACTGGGAAAATGTAAAAAAAATAAATATAATATAGAGATAATTGATTATGTTTGTTGCATTAAATTATGTATCTACAGTATACACAAAATGAAAGGAGTTGTATTATGTCTTCTCATACAGTTTTCCTTTTAATTATAGAGATTGCTACAACTATTTATTAAAATAAGACCTACAATTTATCAATATCGAAGGTTCCGAGGAAAAAAGAAAGTATACTTTTGTTATCCTTAATGGTATTTATTAAGAAAAAAGGTTAGCTTTTGCTTGCTACCCTTAACAATAGTAGTTATTACATAAGACCCTCACTATTTTTTTCTACAAGTACAAGAAGTAGTTACAAGTATGTTTTGTATTATATCAAAAAGACAAAGGTAAAATGGTTCATTGTATCCTTTTATATCTATTAATCATTTAAGAAGAGAGCGAAAACTTAGAAAATATTAGAAACTTTCTTATTCTTGCTCAGTAGACAATAATATTTTCGTAGTTTAATTATCATCAGTTGTCTTTATGGTATATTGTTATTAGTTTTTAAAACTTCTATTATTTTTACTGTACTTTTTATTTTATTAATTATTATTATTTTGGTTTTTTTTTAATTCTTTTCTATTCCCTTCTTATTTCCTT